TTTATGTTGTCATATCTTTTTTTAGAAGATTGATAATTTTAAATATTGCATCTTCCATTGTCAATTTATGTTGTCATATCATCTTTATTTAGAAGTTTGATAATTTTAAGTAGATTAAATTTAAATTCAATTTATTTAGATTTGATAATTTTAAGTATTGATCTTCCATTGTCAATTTATGTTGTCATATCATTTTATTTAGAATCTTTGATAATTTTAAAAGTATTGCATCTTCCATTGTCAATTTATGTTGTCATATCATCTTTATTTAAAGAAATTGATAATTTTAAAGTATTGCATCTTCCATTGTCAATTTATGTTGTCATATCATTTTATTTAGAAGCTTTGATAATTTTAAAAAGTATTGCATCTTCCATTGTCAATTTATGTTGTCATATCATTTATTTAGAAGCTTTGATAATTTTAAATGAAATATTGCATCTTCCATTGTCAATTTATGTTGTCATATCATTTTATTTAGAAATCTTTGATAATTTTAAAGATTGCATCTTTTGTCAATTTATGTTGTCATATCATCTTTATTTAGAAGTTTGATAATTTTAAAGTATTGCATCTTCCATTGTCAATTTATGTTGTCATATCATCTTTATTTAGAAGCTTTGATAATTTTAAAGTATTGCATCTTCCATTGTCAATTTATGTTGTCATATCATCTTTATTTAGAAGCTTTGATAATTTTAAAGTATTGCATCTTCCATTGTCAATTTATGTTGTCATATCATCTTTATTTAGAAGCTTTGATAATTTTAAAGTATTGCATCTTCCATTGTCAATTTATGTTGTCATATCATCTTTATTTAGAAGCTTTGATAATTTCTATTGTAAATCATAAGCCAGGTACAGTTTTCTTTATCATTTCTTTGAAAGATTTTAAATTCAAGAAATGTGGTATGGTCAAGAAATCTCATCACTTTTTTTTATAAAAAGAAAGTCATATACAATGAACGTTTGTCATTATACCAATTTCCTATCATACCTATCCTATTCTAGATGTAGTTTCTAAGAGAACATATGTGAATTGAACTGGTCAAGTGCTCAGCTGTAAACTTATAGCCACACAAACATGAGTGAGATGATGAGATATTAAAAAAAACAAACAAAAAAAAAATAACTGAATTGGAATCCCTTCTTCTCACTGGAAATAAAAAATAATAATTTAAACATTTATACCTCTCTAACAAATATGAACTTTTTAGATTTGAGGAGACGTCAAAAGTAAGAATGAATCAACTTCTGCCGAAGCAACATTTTTGTATGCTTTATCAATTTTGTTTTTAATCATTTCACTCCAAGCAAGGCAACAAAGCCACTAAAATTCAGGTTTGGGGCGGGGGAGGTTATGAGTGTGAAAGAATATAAGAAAAAATACATTAAGGAGTAAGAGCAATAAAAGAATAGAAAATAAGACAGAAGATAGTAATTAACATTGCATTAAAAGTTTTGAAATTCAAACTTGACTGGAAAGCATGAAGCCAGAAGAGAGTTCTGCAAGTGAGAAGTGCAATAGAAGAAATGATTAGAATTACAGTTGCACTTAGCCATTCCAACTGTAAAATGTTGTGACCATGCTGCCAATCTTGTACTGCTCTTAAATTCATAAAGCCCAGGTACAATAAGAGGAAATCTCATAATTTCTTTAATGATTCTTGCATCCATTACCTACCATTAATATTTAAAAAAGATTAACTCTTAATTGTGGTTTCATCTACCTTTCTATTTAACTGTTTAAAAATAATTTTTTCTTGATGATATATCATGTTGAGATTGGTATTTCAAAGCCTAGTAAAGTCAAACTGATTTTGATTCTGATTTCTTTTTTCCTCTGACAACAAAAAGAAACTTTTTCAAGGTAAGATTTAGTTTTATTCTCTGTTGTCACAAAATATTCAAATCTTTGGTTTGCAATATTGAGTTCTGGGAACTTTTGAGCAAACAATAATTAATATTCAATAAGTAGAAATTGAATAAAGTAATTTTCTTTCACTGTATAATAATTTTGCTCCTTATGACCCACCCATGCAATGCTAGCATTCATTGTGCATGACCCAGGGGATATCCATGTTTGTTGTACACTATCTAGGTGTTACCGTCTTTTTTTTTTTAAGGAAAAATTCACAGATTAATTCTGCTAAATTTTTAAATGTAGATAACTGCAGGGAAATCATGAAAAGATGGAACTTTCTGGTTATTACGTACAGGCTCAGTCAGGTGAACTTTTCCCCCCCTTTATAAAAATTGAAAAAAAATGTATAAAGCAAATTTGATTTTTATGTCAGTTAAACCTGCTTTGCTATTGTGTGTCAGGGTATTTTTTTTTTTAACTTGCATCAGATATCTAAATAAAGTTCTAATTAAGCATGTCTACTTATCTCAAATTATCTGTGTTATATCTTTTTTTAACCTGAGGTCTTTATTTTTCAAGCAATTATAAGATCAGCACATAAATATTTTATTGGATTGAGTCCAATTTCAAGTGAAAGCAACTGGAGGCAATGGACAAGATTTGGGAGGCCTGAATTTAATGGCATCAGTTTTTTTCTTTAAACAATTTGAACAGTTTTCAAATTTCAGTAATAATAAAAAAAATTGTTTAGAAAAATATCTTCATAACCTCAAAATATGGAATTAAGGAAAATGTTCACACACCCAACATAGATAGTGAAGTGGTAGATGAATGACTTTAGGTGGTTTTTGAGTTTAGATTTTTCCTTTTTTTTTACCCAATCTAAAATTGGCTTTCGCTCAAAATAAGTGTTTGGCTAATTGGTTGTTTTTGTTTAGCAGCATATCAAAACATCTATGGGTTATTTAATGCCGAAATCTAAATATTTTGGATGCAATTTTATTTTATTTTTGGAGTTAATAATGGTTCAGTGATAAAAATTTTTACTAATTAACCTATAGCTTTGGGGGGGGGTGAGAAGAGATGGATTCCTAGATTTCCCAAGAGGATTTGTACATGTGAATATAATGAACCTTACTAGAATTGCAACTCTGCTCTGTGATTAATAAATCCAAGGTTACAGCACCTGGGGCATTCCCCAGTGGAAATCCACCAAGGTACTGAACAGGCTCAACGTTCCTTAATGGTTTTTAATGTAAGGTGGCCCTAAGCCAAAATAGATGAATTCAACATGTGGAGAATTTATTATATATATATATATATATATATATATATATATATATATATATATATTTGTGTGTCTGTAGTGATTATGGAGAAATCAAAGTCTTACCTCAAAAAAGGAGTTTGTTAACTGTGTTTTGTGTTTAAAAATAAAACCAAGACAGGGTTGAATTTATTAGGCCTCGAAACGTCGTATTTTTTTCTTTTACACTTTCCTACCAGTCTTGAACAACCACAGACTTTCTTGCCCCCAATAAGAGAATGTGACTTTGAATGAAAGTACAATTCTTTGTTCTTCACAGGTGAAGAATGTCATTGTACATTTCAAGTTGAGGATATGGATTTTTGACTGCTTTTGATTTATACCCCTGGCATAATTGATATTTGATTTGGGAGACTGATCCATAACCTTTGTGATCCGAACATCCACAATATTTTATATATATATATATATATATATATATATATATATATACAAATAAATGTAACAATTCCCAAGAGGACAGAATCCAGGTAGAACTCAATGTCCAGGACATAGTAAGAATATAATAAAAAGGCTTAAACACTAATATTCCATGGTTATAATTTATTACATTGGAATTATAATCCAATTCCTCAGACCTACAAATTCAAAAAGAAATCAGAAAAAATAACTCCGGGAATAAAAAAAAATAAAATTTAGTGAGAGTGTATGTATGAGAGTGGGGGACGAATGTTAGAGTAAATGAAAGCTATAGGGAGGGGTAACAGACGAGAGAAGAACAGGAAGGCCTAAAAGTGAAGGTGGGGATTCAAATTTAACAGAGAGAAGTTTTAAAGAGAGGAGTCTAAAAGATGGTTTGACTGAGTGAGATACAGATGAATATGAATTCTTTTCTGATGTATAATTCATTACTGAATCACTGACCTAAATTAAATTAAAAACCGACACCGGAAATGGGTGAATATATTTGTGGTGACATGCACACAATAAAAGACGATATAATCTAAACTTAAAAATCAGAAGATGAGAGAGAGAGAGAAAAAAGAAAAGAAAAAAGGCGGAAGTTGGTGGGGATGGACAAACTAAAACTGAAGGGCATTTATAAAAGAGCCACTGTGCAATCAAGAAAATTTGACAAACGTAATATCGACTACAGGTTACAAATTTAATATAAATATATAAAAAAATAACTAATATTTAATCTATCACCACAAATATATTCACCATGATGTAGTTTTGAATGCTCCCTGCCTTCCATCAGAATAGCTGTTGCCAAACTCTACGAGAGTACCTCCCTGCACCTCCTTGGTCTCCTGCTGTCTGCGGACCCGATGTAGAACAAATACATTGAATTACTAGCTTCATCTATAACAAGCATGTAATACTACTGCCATATATGATGTGTTGCCCCCACTGTTTTTCTCAGGGTCCTTAACAAAATTCAGAGACATATATGCAATGTGATGAGTCTTGATCTGGCATCTTGTCTACAGTCACTTTCTCACAGATGTGCTGTGGCTTCCCTCTGTCTTTTCTCCAATTTTTTTCACAATGAGCTACTTTTGCTGGTTCCCAAACTGTATGAATGTAAGCATGCTACTTGGATGGCATCTCAATCCCACCCCCTTTCACTATTGAAACAGTTAAAATGTATTTGCCTCTTCTACTCCAACAGCTTATCCCGCATGAAACTCCCTCCCTCTTACTTGCTTTCCTGATAGCTATAATCTTCAAATATTCAAATGTAATGTCAATCAACATCTTCTGATGCTTTGATCTTTTCCCTGTCCTTCTCATTATCTTTTCCTCAAATATGCGTCTTTACTCTTGCTCTCACTCTCCATAATCCCTTGTGTGTTAGTGGTACTCCTACCTTGCTTGGGGTGAAATGGAGAGAGATGAAAGAGAGAGAGAGATGAAAAAGAGAGGAAAAAGAGAGAGAGAGAGATGAAAAAGAGAGGAAAAAGAGAGAGAGAGAGATGAAAAAGAGAGGAAAAAGAGAGAGAGAGAGATGAAAAAGAGAGGAAAAAGAGAGAGAGAGATGAAAAAGAGAGGAAAAAGAGAGAGAGAGAGATGAAAAAGAGAGGAAAAAGAGAGAGAGAGAGATGAAAAAGAGAGGAAAAAGAGAGAGAGAGATGAAAAAGAGAGGAAAAGAGAGAGAGAGATGAAAAGAGAGGAAAAAGAGAGAGAGAGATGAAAAAGAGGAAAAAAGAGAGAGAGAGATGAAAAAGAGAGGAAAAAGAGAGAGAGAGAGAGGAAATAAGAGAGAGAGAAAAAAAGAGAGAGAAAGAGAGAGAGAGATGAAAAGAGAGGAAAAAGAGAGAGAGATGAAAAGAGGGAAAGAGAGAGAGAGAGAAAAAGAGAGGAAAGAGAGAGAGAGATGAAAAAGAGAGGAAAGAGAGAGAGAGAGAAAAGAGAGGGAAGAGAGAGAGAGATGAAAAGAGAGAGAGGGGAGATGAAAGAGAGAGAGAGAGAGGGGAGAGAGAGAGGGGAAAAAAGAGAGAGGGGAAGAGAGAGGGGGAGAGAGAGAAAAAGAGAGAGAGAGGGGAAAGAGAGAGAGAGAGAGAGGGGAAAGAGAGAGGGGGGGAGAGAGAGAGGGGAAAAGAGAGAGGGGGAAAAGAGAGAGGGGGGAAAAGAGAGAGAGGGAAAAGAGAGGGGAAAAGAGAGAGAGGGGGGAAAGAGAGAGAGAGAAAGAAAAGAGAGAGAGAGAAAAAGAAAGGGAGAGAGAGAGGGGAAAAGAGAGAGAGAGGGGAAAAGAGAGAGAGGGGAAAAGAGAGAGGGGGAAAGAGAGAGAGAGGAAAAAAGAGAGAGAAAAGAGAGAGAAAAGAAAAGAGAGAGAGAGAAAGGAGGGAGAAAGAGAGAGAGAGAAAGGGAAAAAGAGAGAGAGAGGAAGAAGAGAGAGAGAAAGGGGAAAAGAGAGAGAGAGAGAGGGAAAAAGAGAGAGAGAGAGAGGGGAAAAAGAGAGAGGGGAAAAGAGAGAGAGAGAGAAGAAAAAGAGAGAGAGAGAGGGAAAAAAGAGAGAGAGAGAGAGAAAAAAAAGAGAGAGAGAGGGGAAAAGAGAGACTGTATTTTATCTGGGAAAGAAATCATCCTGCCTGTAATAGTCACCAAAGTGACCAATATATGCATTCCCAGACTTGGAGGTTTTGCTACTTAATTGTAGCATGGTAGCAATAGCAGTAAATTAATTAAAAGTATAAGAATAATTTTTAATGTTCTGTAAAAAGACATTTATTACACACACATGTCTAGCTGTAATTTCTGCCAACCATGTGACTCCTTAGGGTTAAAGAAAATACCATGTGATCTTTAGCTCAAGGAGGCAACATAGTAATTATTTGTTTCATACTAGTAAATCTGAAATTTCCCTCTGAGTCACCATGTGTCCTTTATCACTTTTTGAGTTTGTACCGAATTGTTATTGTTTCAAAAGTGTTTTCTTTGTTTGTATATTTTCTTGAAAATTATTTTGTTTATTCACTTCACCTTCCAGAGACATATTTGTTACTCTTTTTCACTCTTTCATTTGACTTTGCTAAGTAAACGTCTCTAGGGGATGCTAATTAAGCCTATATAAAAGAGTGCATTTATCTCCTCGCTTCTTTTTTTCTCTTAAAACTGACTATAAGATGTAGTTGCACGTAGATAGAAAAGGGTCCCCGCCCCAGTGGGTCATGTTCATTTTCATGGTTTTACTTTTCTCTTGACTTTTGTACTCTTTCAAACATGTGTATCACATAGACATACACAAATTTCATACACACAAAACACATTCTGTAGTTTAATGTTTTCTTCCTTTATTCTAATTGCAAATTGTTTGTTAATGTGCAGTGTCTTGTTTTCACTTTTTTTTTTTTTTACTTTGGTCACATTGAGGAACCAGTAAGTATTTAATATCCAAGGTGTTGACTCCTGCAACATCATGGTGACTAAATATTTACTCAAAACATACAAGCATCCCACAACAAGAAAAAATTTTTATTTTTATTTTTATACTGCTGATTGCTACACCATCAAGCATGAATTGAGTGAAGCCCATTGACCAACAAGCTGAGATAATCCCACAATTTGCATCCTGCCTTTGAGCACAAAAATTTTCAAACAGGAATTTTTGAGTTCATGCCTGTTTCAAGAATACAATACATTTTTCGTTATTCTAATTCAGATAGCCCAATCTCATTTTATACAAATATTTATCAATATCATTTCATTAAAGTTGTCACAGAATGAATTCTTTCCAAGTAAATTTGTTATTAATAAATATACATTCAACAATGCAATAACATTTCTGGCAATGTTGAATTTAAAGTCGATGTACTTCCATTAATAAACAGAAGATAAGACTCAAAAGTATTTGGCATAGCCATGGTTCATGATCGCATAAATAATTTGTTTAGGACAACACCACAACACCCCTGACGCTACCTAAGTTGAAGACAATAGACTTGTCGTATTTATATCAATAAGCGCAAGACGAGCCACCGTCTGATCACATAAATAAATGAGCTTCCAATGATACCATAATAGACTTGACACTTGCCGAGTTGGCCAACAGATCTTATTTACACCAAGGAAAACAAAAAAAAGGTAAGGAATCTTCTCAAGTGCCATTCCCATTACCAGTGTCTGCGATCAGAAATTTGGTTTAACTGAAGAGATCAATAAGTATTGGGCAGTGCCTGTATTCATTAGATTTTACAAGATAGTATTCAAGAAACCTTTCCTTCTTTCATGAAAAGTTTTAGCCTTTCATTTACTGACAGATGTACATGACAGAATAATCACTGGCCGCTATCTTGGAAAGCTGATTAAGGACAAAACAGATATTTTGCTGCCGACGACAGCAATTTTCAAAATTCTTGTATGAATAATTACATCTCCTTCAGTAGGCCATTCATCTGCCACAAGTTTAAGCAAAAGTAGTTGATAAGATACAAGACCTACTTGAAATAGAAGAAAAGCTTAATTTGCATGAAAAAGAACTTCAAGCAATCCTTAAACACTGCTGGAGACAAATAGCTTGTCTGTGGATAGACAAGGTATTCAGTAAATATACAAAAACAGAGATGCAAGAAAAGGACGCATTTTCTTACAGAAAATATCCAACCTATCTAATGAGATGATCCAAACAGAATGAGAGAACAACCAGGATCCATTATTGGCAGACAAAAACAGCATAAGTTGACTCAGAAAGAAAGTTGAAATAACTAATAGGTATCTTACCTATTAGTTATTTCAAGTCGGCACCCACTCACATCCGAGCACTGGAAGTATCCTTCTCTTTTTATTTCTTTTCTCGCCCCCTGGTAGCAGAGATGGCTGGGAGTGTGAATTTGATTTTGGAGGACAACTCTGCGGGATGGAGAATCCCTCACACATGGCCAGAAATGCCTTCTTTGTAACTCAAGACAAGATTGAGACAGGTGAAATATAGCAAACCTACTCATTGAGATCTTTGCCTATTCCACCATTGGAATCTTTGAAGGTTGGTTGCATTCAGTCCCAACCTTACCACTATGGATAGCCCTACAGGAAATGAAACTACAGATGGCTTTGCTCTTAGGATTACTGGGACACACAATTCCTCTACCATGACAAAGAATGACCAAAATAAGGTAGTAATGTGAAAAAAAGAATTAATAGTAAAATTAAAGAATATATAGTTGTTAGCAAAAGAGACAACCTAAAGTATAAGCAGTACATTGGGGATGGCAAAATAAAGCAGGTACAAAAATTTAACTACATAGGAAATGTTCTAAAGAAAGGTAGAAAATTTGATACAAAAATCTGAATGCACACAGGAATATTGAAAGATGCTTTCCAAAAATGGAGAGACAGGAAAATATTAGAAAAAAAGAAGAGAGTCTTGAACTGCTAAGTCATTTTAATCTCCTTTCTGGTACTGAATGCTGGACAATTGTTACAAATGAACAGTTTGAAGCAACAGAGATGTTTCAGCAATGGATGCTTAGAATACCATGGACAGAACACGTGATCAGTGGGGAAGTTTTAATGAAAATAGGAACAATAAGTAAATTTAGACTTACAAACAGAAAAAGATGATTGACATTTTGCAAAAAAATAGTGAGAAAATAAGCTGGGAGAAAAAGCAAGGTGAAAGATGGGGGGGGGGAGAAAAAGCGAGGAGAAAAACTGGGGAGAAAATGCAAGGAGAAAAATGGGGTGGAGGAGATAATGATCTAAGGATACAAGTCTTAATAATCAACCCATGGCTGGGTGGAGAAGAAGCAGATTCATACCTTTCCAAGGATATTTGCACATAAACGAATATAATATACCCAGCTCTAATTGGAACTCTCTTCTTCGATTAAGAATTCGGAGCCATTATCCATTACACCACCTTCACATTCAAGCTTACAGCACTTTGTATTCCTAAACAGTCACCCATTTAGGTACTAATCAGGCCTGTCATGGCTTAACTTTTAATGAATGTATTGAAACCGGTGTTTCAAAATGATGTGACTGTAAGCCTGCAGTGTTGTGAAAGAAGCAAAGACCATTATGTAAAATTTGAAGAATAAATGATAAACAAAAAACATATTTGAAGATGAAGTGGAAATCCAAATAAACATACATAAAAGCTGGCTTTGTAACTGGAGCAGGCAGACGATTGTTAATAGTTACGAGAGAAATCTCAGAAAATGATAAAATCAATATATAAGGGCGAATTTGAATACTTATTTAGCTGTGAATTAACTCAAATCATGTAAACAAAGAATTAGAACAGAACTGGCGATAACTGAAAGCAGCAATTTGCCTCTGATCATTTTACTTCTCTTTTGGTTCTTGACTTCAAACCGAATCCAGAGTCTTTTCTGATCTAAAAGTAGGATATCTAGAAGAGACCAGAAAAAAAGCAGCTAATACCACTGCTTTTTTTTTTATTATTATTTCTTTTCATGTTCTCACAAATTCACTCCTACCTTTCTCACACAGGAGAAATCCATTTACATTCAAAAAAGCTGAAGGCATGCACCTGCCCATGTCATTGGCTCCATCGTATAAAGACAGAAAACGGTTGATGGAATAGCCTGGATGTGCTACCTATGAAGTTGACAGAATAATCCGGATGTACTGGCTACAGATTAGGGTACATACCTTCAGAAGCATACGGTCAGTGGCTTTCAAAGAAGTGATTGAGGTGGGAGTGTGGATTTGTGACTATTTTAACTTATGGCTTTGTGAATTTGTGAGTTTAATTTTTCATTAAGTTCTCCTATGTTAACTACCTGTGTATGAAACTGGTACAAGAAGATTATATGAAAGTAGAGGCCTTCTCTGCTTACACTACTCTACTAATGTTGCTTGTTCACAATTTATCATAGGAACTGAAGGAATCAAAGATTTTTTAAAATATCACGTGTGTAAGGAGGATAATAGAATTATCCATAACTCATTTTTTCTTTCACAGAAATTATTTATCCTGGAAATAAATTCAAGCCATACAGTGCATGTGTTGTATATATGGATACTTTCACCTGAGATATGCTCCTGAAAAATTATTTCAGTTGAGGTCTCTGGGGAAGAAGTCCGAGTTTGTAAACAGTGACTATTGCTGCTACTAATGCAATTCTCTTCAATAAAACGAATCAAGTTTTCTCAGTCACTGATGTGTTTATCTACAAATAAATATGCTTAAATTCACCTTCATCCCTGCCATGCACCAAAAGCTTAGGGATAGATTCTCCAACTGGTTTTGAACCTAGCAAGAGGCATCTGGATGTCTAGCCATGGTGGTGAGCTGTGATACAGCAAAACTGAATTACATATACATACATATATATATATATATTAATAAATATAACAGACAATAAATGTATTATTTTCACCGGAAATTAAAGCAAAGTTTGCTTTAATTTCTGTGGAAAATAACAGACATTCACTGTCCTATATTTAATAATATATGTTTAAATAATGATCTGCTGCCCCAATACACTAAATTCAAGTCTTTTATATAAAAAAACATACCAATTAGTAGTGATAATTCCAAGGAGGACATTATTCTGAAGAGAGCTCAATCTAAGTAACAGAGCAATATAATGGTAAGACAATCCTTAAAAACCCATTTT